TCAATATGTTTTTAATAGCTGTGTGTTATTCCAGAATATATGTGTGTGCATAAAATTTCTGAAGAATGTTGTTAGTAAATAAGAGACTATAACTATTCTAAGCCTTTCCAGATACCTTGATTAGAACATTGCAAGCAAGCAAGCCCAAATTGGGGATTGATCTTTTGTAAAATCTTGAAGCACACATGAAGACAAATTGGTCTGCTTAGCTCTGCATTGTTTATTTTTATTTCTAAATTCTCTTTCTAATCCTCTTGGAAGAAATCCATTCTCTTCTGGGGAAGATCTAAGATTGCTCTCAGACAACAGCACAGTGTTTACTGGTTGTTCAGTTGGGATAGCCATTAAATGCCATGCACAAAATAAACCAAAGATCTACAGAAACACATTTCTGCAGGTGAAAATTACATTCACCAACATTAGTTCCCACTCTGGTGCATGATGTGAAGTATCAGATTTCTCCATTATGAATGTAATGTGCCTGTGAGGCTAGATCCTCATGAAGGAGATTAGAAAAGACATCATGCCCTAAAATCCCCCTTTCTAATAACAGGAGAGTGTGTAGGAGCCCTGGGGCATTGCTACCGTAACTCACTGTATCAGAAAACCCTGGAGAGGTTTAGCTCTCCTTCCATTAATGGCTCTGCCACTGAGGCAGGGGTCATTTGCACTCACAAGAGAGAACCTGGCTGTTCAGCACTGGAAGACCTAGAAAAGGCTCTGAAAGAGCTCTGTACTAACTGAATACATTCCTCATTTTCTCATCACTTTTCGCCCTACTTGGCCATTTTCCTAAAACCATAATTCAAGTTTTCCAAAAGGGTGTAGGGGGTGGGGAGGGTAAGAAGTAATCTCTGGGTTATCCTTTCAAGAATTCTTAGAAGGAAATTTATATTCTTTTATCATTCTTATGGGAAACCTAACTCGTGGTTGCTACTAGGATTTAAAATGTTTCACCACCCACATAACATCTGTAATATAGACAAAGGCCCATAGATTGTAGAGCTTGGCTTCCAGGACAGTCCTGGAGAGAATCACACTGAAACCATGGGAAGAGCCTTGCAATCACAGATGGGTCAGGTAGAAGTCTTGTATTACTTTCCAGGAAATGCATTGCTTTACTGCATTGTTACTGCACAATAGGGGAAAAAGAAATGCTTAAAGCTAGAAGGTTGCGTGATTAGGATGGTGTCTAAAGGAAGAGGGGTCGGTTATGTTCTGAATATTTTTTAAAAATCTACATTCTGGGTTGCGTGTGGTGCTGCACACACATCATCCAAGTTACTCAGGAGGCAAAGATCAAGAGGATGTCGGTTTGAAGATAGCCCATGCAAAAAGTGCGCGTGACTACCTCACTCATCTCAGTGAAGACTCAGGTGTGGTGGCACGTGACTGTCATTCCAGCTAATGCTGGAAGCATCTCTAGGAGGATCATGGTCCAGACTGGCAGGGCAAAAATTTTGAGATCCTACCTAAAGAACAACTAAAGCAGAAAAAAAAGGGGCGGCAGGGGCGGGGGTGGCTGGCTCAAGTGATAGAGTACCTGAGGTCACAGAACTCCAAATCCCACTTCAGCCTCCCAGAACTATGGGCTCTTTCTTAGATGTGGCTTATCATTGTATTATGATCAGGGATACAGAATGGACCAGCTTCTAGACTCTTACATAGAAGGATGGTGCTCTCTGGATCCAGACTGGATTCCCTTTTCCTCAATAGCAGTCTTTTCCTAGCGTAGGGACCCACCCGAAAAGGAAGGGAAGAAGGAGTTAGAGCCCTCCTGTAGCTCTGGGAGTTCCAACCCCTACCCCTCCCTGCAAGCCCCAGGTCTCCCTAGCAGTGAGTCAAATGGGGGCCCTCCTACTCACCTTTGCAGATTCTTTTGTCTCCCCTTGGGGATCCTGACATTCCAAGCATGGCGATGTTTGTTACACTGGCAGCAGCAACAGAGCAATGTGCAGCCCCCGGCTGGGGGGAGCAAAATTTGCAAACTCAGTATGCTGGGCCTCAAGCCAATCCGGCTGGGTGCGTTGCTGTGGTGACACATTTAGTCTCCAGGGAGGGAAGCTGGCACACCAGCTGCATTCTTGGCACTGTGTTTGCCAGTGAGAATTCTGTGGCGTGGAACTGGTGTCAGCTCCAGAGAGAGACACAAGCTGCTTCCTAATGTCCCTGGCAATCCTATCCTTTACAACTTGGGCCTGATACATCCACTCTCCTGAACATTTACAAGAACTGCTATTTGTGATACTCTTTGGATGGGATATGCTTTGAAGGGAAGTGTTAAAATGATAGCAGCTTTCCAGTTTACAATTGTAACTATGGTATCCCTGAATAATTCACTTTCCTAAAATTGGCACTTAAGGATGCAATGACTTATCTCTTGCTAGGAAGGAATTCTAATCACACCCCTACCTCTCCCTACCCTATCCCCCCCCCAACCCCCCACACACAGCAAGTTTTAAAAATAGCTTTGATTGTTGCCAAGAGAAGAGCTTAGTATTTACTATCATAGGATATATGAATTAAAATACTAGCGTTGCAGGGCACTGGTCTTCTGCAAAGCTAGTATTTTAATCATAGTTCCAGAAAAAATTGGAGCGAATTATTTCCAATTAACCAGCAAAAAAGCCAGAAGGGGAGGTGTGGCTCAAGTGATAGAGCACTAGCCTTAAGGGAAAAAGTCCAAGCACAGGTCCTGAGTTTGAGCCTCAGTATCAGCTCAACAACAAAATTTAAAAATAAATAAATAAAAACTGTTGCAATTCCCTGATTGAGTTAGCTGAGTGCTGTGATACCTGGGAGAAAATCATCTCACAGGAATGTCCCATTCTCTGTTCCAACTTGAGCCTGCTAGACAGCAAGTACCCAGATTAGGCCACTTAGTATTCAGACCATGTCAAGATTCTAGTAAAAGGCCTATATTGCAAAGCTGGGTGCACAGTTACCAGGCCAAACACAGTCAACACTTCAAATTGCAGTTAGATTATAAGAAAGCATGGGGCAAAACATGCAGACTGGTGTTGTCAATGAAGCAGGAGAGATGAAAGGCATTACTTCATAAATGCCAGTCTGGGAGGCCTCTGAATACAGAGGTGCCTTCTTTCCAGCTGCCCCCCTTGCCTGTAAGAACTGGTGAGCAGTTTGAACTAGTGTTTTCTTCCTCCTCCTCTTCTTCCCTCTTCTCCTTTGTCTTCTTTTAAATGCAAAGCATCTCTCCAAGATGAAGAAAGGAACAATTCCACTGTGAGTTTCTATGGCTTTGGGAAAGGCTAGAGATGTTGCAAGCCAAGTGATTCCTACTGAAAATATCACATGCAATGAGGAACTGCATTTGAGACAATCACATATGTTAATGCTTAGTTCTGTCAATGTCAGCTTTATTTGCTTCTCAATATATACAACGCTGGCACACAATTTTCACTGATGAGGTCATGTCATTTTTAATTTAGAGAGCTGTAAGCTTGTCCACTTTACCAGTGATATCATCTTTGCTCTTGTCTCCTGGGATTTTATGTAAACGTAAGTCATGTGTCCTGGGCAGTTTGGAAAGGGATTGTTAAAGAAACGACTTGGGTCATCATAAATATTCCCCCCACTTTGATTGCTTTCAAATTGCCAGATTCAGTTTAATGTGACTGTCATATTTTAGCCATGCTGGAAATTAATATGTCCCAGGACTTTTGAACCAACTTAAATATAGAAATAACATAAAGGTTGGAAATGAATAGGTTGTAATCATTTTTATGACAGTTCTGGGAGAAAATGAAGACCTTAGGTAGCTTGATTAAATAAAAAGGAAAGCAAGAGAAAGATGGTAAGAAATATCTAACACTCAATAAACAAAGTATTCTTATTTTAGTTGGGGACAATAGTTACACAGTCACAGCCTTCTACCTTTTAAAATCAAATAGTCTCTAAGGATATCTGTTTTTCTAGTGTGATCTTTAGAGATATAAGTTATTGGTACTTTGTCTCTTCAGTGAATTATTATTTAAGCCTAAATTTGTTCATTTGTTTGCTTGTTAACCACATCATCTTAGTGATTTCACTTTCCAAAAATATGCCTCCAAAAATGATCTGGCTTGGTAGGTATAAACAAAGTTTACTTTCTATTTTTAAATAAACATTTTTTTCTGTGGCTAAATTACGTTTTATAATCTAAGAGGAGTCTGGGGCAAATAATCTGTGTTTTAACTGTGGCTACTGAGCGAGTTTTCTCTGAGAAGTCTGGAGTTTGGCAGAATTGAGTTAAAATAGTAAAGAATCTGTTTATTATTCTGTGGCCATATGTTTAGAGGGTCGAGCACAGAAATCAAAGCATTGTTCATGGAGAGGACTAGCCAAGGAGACATTCTGAATTCATAAAAGAACTTCCCAGTTTGAAAAGAATGCATAGCATTATGTATTGACACCCTACCACCACAGACAAAGGAACACAATTTAATAATAGAGAATTATACTCAGGAGATTTTTCTTTTTCTTGTTAATTGGTTACTTTAACTGACATTGTCTGCAAGTATAATGGACACCATTATTCTTAATAGTTCTGCATTGCCAGATGATGTATACAGACATGATGTAGTCCATTTTAATTATTTCATTTCACTATTTTTTTCTTTTTCATGGCAATGGTGGGTACAAAAACCACATTTTTTTTTCTTGACAGACTATACTGAATAATATGAGCTTTTAAATTACTGCAATTAAAAGGGCTTTTCTGAGCCATGTGCTGGTGACTCAAGCCTATAATCCTAGCCGTTCTAGAGTCTAAGATCTGAAGGTGGTGGTTTGAAGCCATGCAGGGCAGAAAAGTCTGTGTGACTTTTGTCTCCAACTAACCAGCAAAAAAATTGGATGTGGAGCTGTCTCAAGTGTCAGAGCACCAGCCATGAGCAAAACAGCTAAGTGAGAGGATAAGACTTTGCTTAAGCTCCAGTACTGGAACAAAGACAAAGGTATTTCTCATTAATCTCCTTTCTCCTTTCTTGTTTGTGTGCTAGGTATGACTATGTGGAAGTCATCGATGGAGAAAATGAAAACGGGCATTTATGGGGAAAGTTTTGTGGGAAGATTGCCCCTTCTCCAGTAGTATCTTCAGGGCCATTTCTTTTCATCAAATTTGTCTCTGACTATGAGACACATGGTGCAGGATTTTCCATCCGATATGAAATTTTCAAGAAAGGTAAGTGACTAACTTACAAAAGAACATGTTCCACTAAGCAGTCATTCCATGTGGTTTGATTCACAAAATATGAAGTGAGATGATGGAGGGCAATGTTTTTATCCTTCCATAAAATATTACATATTCCCATTGTAAAAATATGTAATATGCCTTCAATAAAGGAAAACTAACAATGGTATGATTGGTTCAGACTTACTTAGAAGGCAAGTTTAAAACTGAATAAAAGTAGCCTGGGGCCTGTTGCTCATGCCTGTAATCCTAGCTACTCAAGAAGCTGAGATCTGAGAATTGTGGTTCCAAGCAAGCCAGGGCAGGAAAGTCTCTGAGACTCTTATCTCCAGTTAACGTGTTTAAAAAAAGCCAGAAATTGGGCTGGAAAGGTGGCTCAGTGGTAGAGCACTTGCCTTGCAAAAAAGCCAGAAATAGAGCTGTAGCTCAAGTAATCGAGCATCAGCCTTGAGTGAAAAAGCTTAGGGACAATGCCCAAGCCCTGAGTCTAAACCATAGTACTGGCACCAAAAAAGGAAAAAAAAAAAAAAAAAACCTGAACAAAAGTATTTCAGACTCAAAACTGCAGTGTGTTGACCAGTGTTTATAAGGAAAATTCTCAAAAAAATAAACTAAAAACTTTTGAAGAGCATGTTATTATTTTCCTACTTCAGAAAACGCTCAATCTATTTTGAAAGTGGGACTTCTTTTATAAATGAAATTAATTCCTATTACCTTAGAGCTATTCTTATTCATTCTGATCCTTTTTATTTTTTTTGCAAAATCTAAAACTTAGTTCCCAGGAAATGCAAAGCTACCTACCAGCCTTATTGTGTTTATCACTATCTGGAGAAGAGGCTTTCTTCACATAATAAAATGGTTGAAGGAAACAAAACAGCTTTTGGTGGTATTGTCTTTAGGAATGAAATATCAACCACACTCGCTAATATAAGTATTTACTAATCTTCTATTATAATGGTAGGTATCTGAATGGATAAGACCTGACAATTAACAAGCACCAGTGTTGAGAGATTAAACACACGTATCATTCTTGGATTAGTCAGTTTTCATTACTGTACCAGGATACCAGGGAAAATAAATTTCAAAACAAGGAAGGCTTATTTTGGCTCACAGCTGTAGAGATTTCAATCTAAGATCTGTTGGCCCCATTATTTGGGGACCTGTAACAAAGCAGGACACTATGGCAAGGAGAAATGGGAGAAGGAAATATTCACCTCATCGCCAAGATAATAGAGAGAGAGAGAGAGAAAAGGCTGAGGTCCCATTTCTATTAATGAGTGGAAGAATCACTCACCCTCAGTAGTCCCACTGCTTAAATGTTCCATGACCTCCCCAAAGCAGCCATTTAAGGGACACTCTAGGTACAAACCAAGAAAGCAGTTTAACTTATCTCTTTCCTCATATTTGTTATATTCAACTTTTCTGTAACTGACATTTTTAAGTTGATATTAATGTGAGACAGAGACTCAGGTTTGGAACTGTCCTGAATTTAAGAGAGTACTTGTTTTAATAGAAAAAACTAGCCACGTCTTCTGGCTATTTCAGAAACCTAAGATCCCCTGGGTCAACTGTTACTGAATGATGAGGAGAGCAATTAGGAGTTTCCAAAAACAGAAACACAGCTTTAAAAACAATTAAATATTTCTGGCCTTGTCCCCCACTTTCCTCAGAAATTTATATGGGTGCACACTTAGTTTATATATGCTATTAGTGTGAACACATTTAATTTCCATAAAGTATCAGTGTAAACACCCATGGAGCAGATATATTTAGTACAAATGGTAATATACATATGCATCAGTATGAACTGATTGCTACATAGGCACAGATTTTTTTTGTTGAAAGCTGTTTGATAGTTATCACATTATAGATGCAGGTGCATGCATACACACATCTACATGTGCTTGCTTATTGACATGTGGCAATATCAAAGAGAAAGATGTCAGAAAAGGGTAAGAATAGTCATTCATTTTCAGTATTTCTCAAAGATCTGAAGACCATTGAAAGGGAAAACAAAGAATAAGATCAATCACTAGCTCATCAAGAATCTGCCATCTTCTGCTTAAATAAGCTCAACTCCTTGTATTACTGTTATTCTTACTAGTGCCGTGGTTTCCTTGGCCTGCTCTCCAACACCATCTTTCGAAGATGGACTGTTCTTCTGTTCTCTCTCTGTCTCTGTCTCTGTCTCTGTCTCTCTCTCTCTGGCCAATCCTGGGGCTTGAACTCAGGGCCTGGGCACTGTCCCATAGCTTCTGTTTGCTCAAGGCGTGCACTCGCTCTACCACTTGAGCCACAGCGCCACTTCTGGCCTTTTCTGTTTATTTAGTACTGAGAAATCGAACCCAGGGCTTCATGTATGCTAGGTAAGCACTCTACCACTAAGCCACATTCCCAACCCTGTTCTTTCTCTTTTGGACTGCCTGCATCCAATATGACTTCTAGTTCTTTTTTGTTTTCATCAAAGGTACAGTTCCCTTCTGTTCACTGCAGGTAACTCAAGTTATCATTGTCCTGGTGCTACTTAGTTCTGATGTTGTTTTTCCAATAAACATCCAACCCTGTCTTCAGAAAGCCTTGGAGGGAGGGTTAAAGGTATGGCTCAGGTGACAGAACACCAGCCAATAAAAAAAAAGCATTAGATACTAACCTGGATTCAGTTCCTGTTGGAGATCAGACCTCATCTGGTCTTTGATTGCTCTTGTCTTCCTTCAGCTCTCATATATCCACAGCCTGGCATCCTGGTGTTCAGATTAGAGTCCCAGAGACCTGACTGTGAGTTTTAATTCTGTCACTGTGGAACGCTTAGAGCCTGCTTTTTATTTGAAAAGAAATGGAGAATAGCGCCAAAGCTTGTTAAGACAATGAGACAAAATGAAAAGAACAGGGAAACCAGTGTCTGCCACTGAGGATAAACTTGGAAACAATAGACATCAGAGGGATCAAGGATAAAGCCAGGAACTCCAGCACCCAGAGCCTTGCTGTCTTCTGGGATGCCCTTGACCTCCTTGGAAAGTTGGCTCCAAACATACTCTTCTTAGCAAGTCCTCCTAATTCATCTGACTATTTTCCACACCCTGGCCCAAATTGTCCTGTGCATGTATACTGGATATAGTATGTGCAGTATTTGTGCATACAAGCATACTCGACACACATACATTCCACTTAATTTTGTAATGAAACGTTTGTTTCATTTTCCCAACTATATTGGTATCACTTGAAAATGCAAATATAAATTGCATCTTTTTTCTCACTGCACATATTATATTTATTGATAGACATGCAGGCTAAGGGTTTTTTTCCTTAAAAGTCATTTAGTGGCATTATAGAATTCATGAATCTATCTTCTTTTGATAATATAGCACTTCTTTTAGAGTGTAGCTATTTCAAGTTTCCTCTAATGAGAATTATATTAGTCATAGTTCAATGAAAGCAGGAAATTTATCTTTTATCTATTGATTTTGCAGGTTAGGAACCATTCTCGGAGAGATTTTAAGCCACTTCTAAGCCCTAAAACTGCATCTGTAGAAGAGCCTGACATTGGATCTAGGCCAGTCCCCACCTTTTTCTGCACCTCTAGTAGCCATCTTGGACCACCCTGATTCTCTTCCAAGGGGACCTCACTTCCCTTTTTTTTTTTGTCAGCCAGATGTTGAAACCTTGGATTGCTAACCTCTCAATTATTTTCATCCTCTAAAGAAATTTCTGTCAGAAACTCAAGCCTCTCTGCCTGCCATTCTGCGACCACACCACATCCCCCTGTGGTCCTTCCAGGCCTGAGGCCGGAAGAGGCTTCTCTGTGTGGGTGAGAGGTGCTATTTATTGAGACTAGGATTGGCCACCTGAGACAGATTATATGATCAAGTGTCTGCATATTTAATAGAAATTCCCGAGAGAACCTTAACTATTATTATAGTCCAACCCTATCATCATTAACAGCTGATATGGCATTTGTATAGCTACATAGGCTGTTCTTGATCTTGTGTTTCCTGCTCCCCTCTTCTTGTAGGCCCTCCTCCTCTCACCCTTGCAGCTCTCCCATTGGCCTCATGGTTGTACTTCACCTTGCTAATGATTAGCTTTCTGGAGGAAGTAATTGTTTGGCTCTGATAAAGATAACAAAATAGGAAGAAAATAAGAAAAAGAAATATTAAAACAAAATTAATGTACCCTGCAGAAAATAGGAAATGTCAGAATCTTGAATTCATAAGTGATTTATTTTGTCAAGTCTAGAACTCAATTCCCTTGTGTTATATAGTGAATCTGAGAAACAGGAAGGTTTACAAGGCCTTGAGCAACACAGTATGCTATTGTTAAAGACAGGACTGGAACCCAGCTCTCCTCTGGTTCAATTGAGTTCTTTTCTTGAACTCTTCGAATTTCCTCAGGGTTTGTCAAAATACATTAGAAAGCCAAAGACAGAGCCAGGCACTGGTGGTTCACACCTGTAATCCTAGCTACTCAGGAGGCTGAGATCTGAGGGTTTCAGTTCCAAGACAGCACAGGCAGGAAAGTGAGACACTTATCTCCAAATTAACCACCAGAAAACCAGAAGTGGAGCTGTGGCTTAAAGTGGTAGAGCACTAGCCTTAAGCAAAAAGCTCATGGACAACACCCAGGCTCTGAGTTCAAAGCCCCACAACTAGGTGGGGGTTAGGGTGGATAGACACAGCTTCTGGAAAGGGCACAAAACAAACACTGAAATACATTCCATTTTCAAAATGTGCCATTAATTCCTATCATTCCTTTTGTCTCTCATTTAAACTTAATCTTACATGGAAAAAATTATATCTAATTTTTAGGTTTTGGGGTTCTTATGGCAGTATTGGTTTTCAACTCAGTCTCACACTTGCTAGGTGGGCACAGTCCCACTTTAGCCAGGCTTCCAGCATTCTTTTTGTTTTATTATTTTTCAGATACAGTTTCACTTTGCCCTTGCTGGTCTGGACAGTAGTCCTTCTGATCTCTTACCCCTGAGTAGATGGGATTATAGGCATAAGAAACCACACCTAGCCACAAGTTTTTCCTTTTAAAAAGATACTGTTAGCTCTTAATTTTGCCTTATTAGACCTTACACAGAACACCGGTGAACAGGTTTAAAGTGTCCAAGATGTCTGTCTCTATATATTGGCAATAAAATTCTAGAAGGTCCTCAATATCCTGTTATACAATGTGTGTGTATATATACATAGAGAAAAAAAGAAAGTAGATACATATGTGCATATATGCATATATACATGCAGATATGTTCTTTGTGAATTCATGATTATTCAAACTTTCATAGTTACTATCATCAAAAAAGCCCCTAGAGTAACTTAGAAATTGATTTAAAGAGCTGGTGGTGTGTGGCTCAAGTGATAGAGAGATTTAAGACCTTTAGCTAGAACTGATATTATAAAATGGAATGTGTTGACAATGTGTGTGTGTGTGTGTGTGTGTGTGTGTGTGTGTGTGTGTGCGTGCGTGCGCGCATGCTGGTCTTGGGGCTTGGACTCAGGCATTGTCCCTGAGTTTTTCTGCTCTACCACTTAAGCCACAGTTCCACTTCCAGCTTTCTTTTTTCTTTTTTCTTTTAGTGGTTAATTTGAGATAATAGTCTCATGTACCTTCCTTCCTGGGCTGGCTTTGAACTGCTATCCTCAGATCTCAGCCTTCTGAGTAGCTAGGATTACCAGCATGAGCCACTGGTGCCCAGCCTGACAACTTTATTTATTCAAAATTAAACAAAAGAGCATTTAAAGCCATCATGGTGACACAGGGAGCCTCATCCCAGAAGGCTTGGAAGTATTCTAACAAGTCATACCTCTGCTGGCCAGGTTTTCTCTGCCTAATCAGTTCTCTTCTTCTGCACCCTTGGGCCATGGACATCTAACTGTGCTCAAGGAGAAAGCAATTCATTTCTGTTTATAGAGACTGTAAAGGCACCAATGTGAAGGTGCAGCTTACTGACCTGAGCCACTAACACTAGGGACCTGCCACTTATATTTTATTTGCATGGATTCCTAACACTCAACCCTAGTTGCTGGCACTACAGGAGGGTGTTCAATGAAAGATACTCTTTCAACATATAGTCTCATTCCGGTGACTATTCACGAGGTTGGTAGACCCATCACTTCAGCCTGCTGGCCCCAGTGAGACAGATGTACAGAGGAAGAATTATTGACTTGAACATATCTACATTTGACCCTAAGGTTCAAAGGGGTCAGGTCATCTCTTATCCAGAGATCCTTACATAATGAGCAACCAGACAATATGTTCTGGAGACTGATGGCTTTTCAGTTGTGTAATAAATACTGTTTTGTTTGTCCTTGGGCCCCGTGGCTGAAATCATGGTCATTTGGGCAGTTGTAAGGTCAGCTCCAAATCTACACACAAATGCTCCTGATCCTTGGTGACATCTTGACAACCCTCAGCCATCATTAAAATTGCCTGCCATAAATCTATCCATTTACACACACACATCCATGAACAAGCAGTTTTAGGGTGATGTTAGTACTATTGTTGGCACTTTGGGGAAAGTTAAGATGTCGATGTTGATATTAGGTGACTCCTAGCTCCACAACCTGTAACCACAGTTTATCGCACCCTCCCTGACAGCCCCATGTTGCCGCACACCTGTGTCAACACCACTCACAATGAGTCACCCACCAGGGTACATGTACGAATTACTTTTCGCATTCAGTCTGTCAAAGAGGCATAGGTCACATCTGGCCAAGTTACTGAGTCACTGTTGGAGGAATCTGAAACCCCAGCTCCCTCTGCTGAATTCTCTCCCTCCCTTTGTAAATGTTCTGTTTCACCAATAAAGCGCTGTCAGCCTCAAGATTTAAAGATTTAAGCTTGAAGGAACTATAATTATTTCTCTAGGGCTCTGTCGAGATTTCTGCAGCTTATTCATTCATTGTTCCCACATGATTTGATATTTGTCATCCCCACCCCCCTCCCTCCGGCAACAGTAGAAGTCTTTAAATGGCTCTACACAAATGGAAAGCTAAGGTGAACACAATAAATCAGAATTGGACTCTTACTGTACCAATCGCTAATACGAAAGGCTGGGTAATGACTGATTAGGACAGTGGTTATCATGGTGGAATTTTATTAGAGAAATGGTTCTGTCTGCCCAAAGTGTTTCTAGGTGAGGTTTTAGGATGCTCACTCAGTGCTATTTTCTCTTCTATCTATAGGTCCTGAGTGTTCTCAGAACTATACTGCACCCAGTGGGGTGATAAAGTCCCCCGGATTCCCCGAAAAATATCCCAACAGCCTCGAATGCACTTATATCATCTTTGCGCCAAAGATGTCTGAAATTGTCCTGGAATTTGAAAGCTTTGACTTGGAACTGGACCCCAATCCTCCAGGCGGCATGTTCTGTCGCTATGATCGCCTGGAAATCTGGGATGGATTCCCTGAAGGTAAGAGCTAAGAAATCAGGAAACATACCCCCCTCCAAAAGGGAGGAACCTGAGGGAAGGGCACCAAAATTCCTTTTACAAGTGCCAGGCACCTTTAAAAAAAGAAAGGAAGAAGGAAGGAAGGAAGGAAAGAAAGAAAGAAAGAGAAAGGAAGGAAGGAAGGAAGGCAGAAAGGAAGGCAGGAAGGAAGGAAGGAAGGAAGGAAGGCAGGAAGGAAGGCAGGAAGGAAGGCAGGAAGGAAGGCAGGAAGGAAGGAAGGAAGGAAGGAAGGAAGGAAGGAAGGAAGGAAGGAAGGAAGGAAGGAAGGAAGGAAAAGGATAGCACAAAATGACAAGGTTAAAAGCAAAAGGACAACTCAGAGTGGAAGCATGATGAAATATTTGAGCTCAGAGAGACCTTAATAATTATCTATTCCATTCCCCTCATTTTGTAGATAAGGAAGCTTGGCCCTGAAAGATTATACAAGGTCTTCAACTATTACTGTGATAGAATTGGAACCAACACATACTTTTCTGGACTCAATTATTTTGCTCCTTTCTCTGACCTGCCTACTTGCCATTAATTCTTAGACTGTCAGAAATGAATCTTCAGAGAGTACTTACATCAAACCCCTCAGTTGACAAACGTACAGACTAAGGAGTAGAGGGGTTAAGTACTTTGTAATTATTTTCAGAAATTTAGGGAAAGAATAACATTGTGTTTGGGTATTCCTAATTTATGCAGAATCCCTGCTGGCTCTCAAGGAGATTTTCATGTTTGGCAGGTTGAGTTCTCTTCAACACATCATTTATATTCATTGTTCCTATTATCAAAATAAGTCCATACATCTGAAAACATCTAATAGCAACTGTCTTGGCCACTTGGTAAGCAAAATAATCAGACAGATGCCCTTTTGGCATTTACATTGGCCAAAAGGATTAGAAAACAAATTATACATGTTACAAATACACCAATTCTGTGCTCATTTTGGCAGCATATATACTAAAATTGGAATGATACAGAAATGATTAGCATAACCCCTGCTCAAGGATGACACACAAATCTGTGAAGCATTGCACATTAAAAAATAAATAAACCAGTTCTATGTCCAGAATGTTAGAAGGCAGTAAATCATTTTTAATGGGAGGAAGGAAGGATAGAGGGACAGAGGATGGAGGGAAGGAGGAAGAACATAGCAACGTAAAGAAAATTTAAGTTAGCTGTCAGGCACCTGTGGCTCATACCTATAACCTCAGGTACTCAGGAGGTTGAAATCTGAAGGTTGAGGTTGGAAGCCAGCCCAAACAGCAAAGTCTGTGAGATTCTTACCTCTAATTAACTACCAGAAAGCTGGAAATGGGTCTAAGTTGTAGAATGTTAGTCTTGAGCACAAAAGCTCAGGGACAGTGCCCAGGCCTTGAGTTCAAATCCTAGCACCTCAAAAAAGAATTTAAGGGAGAAGTTTGCACTAGTGGCTCACTAGTTTGCACTACTGGCTATACAGGAGGCTGAGATCTGAAGATTATGGTTCAAACTCAGCTGAAAAAAATCCATACTTTCAGTTGACCAGCAAAGAGCTGGAAATAGAGTTGTGTGGTATGGCTCCAGTACTGAGCAGAAAAACCCAGTGAGAGCCGAAAGCCCTGAGTTCAAGCCCCAGTACTGGTGGGGAAAAAGTTAGCAAAGAGGAATTATCAGTTAATATTTTATGTAGGGCAGCATGTTAAGCCATATTAAAAAGTGATATTTGACCCAAATATCAGATATCAAAGGCTGTGGATGAAATAGCCTTGTAAACACCTAAATGAAAGTTTCCATTCAATCCTAGTGGGTTAGAAGGTGAATGACAAAAAGTACATACCCAAATTCTGAGCAGGAGGTAATGTCAAATAATTTATTGCAGTTGTATTGCTCATCTTGTGTTTAGTCTAGTTTAATACTATTTCTTTAGAGAACACACACTGCACCAATCTTAAAAGGACAATCTAGAAGTTCTTCGTGGTCATGCTGTTACAGATGTATAACCAACTACAAAACAGAGTCAGGTATTTGTAAGTCAGAGGAAAGAATATTCGAGTAAATAACAAAGGAAGAACAAATAGAAGGCAAAAGCTATTGCCTTAGTCTTTGAAATCATAATTATCAGTAAACAGTATTGAAGAGAAACAGCTTTTAGAGAAAGTTGGTGTTTCTCTTTGGTGTGAGTGGGTAAGTTAACATGAGTTTAATGCCTTCCTTTCCTCTTTTACCATGGAAATAGCATTGTGATGATCTTATTGAAACTCCTTCATTAAGTAATGAGATTTGCCCAAACACAGTGCTGATTGATTTCCAAGTATTCAGTCTGATAATTAGGAAAACAGTATTACAATGTTGTTGTAATAATAGTTGGAACATTTAATAATGGGTTTATTTGTTCACAATCCAAATTTGCAGGCTTCCTTCCTAGAACTTTCATTTAAATTGGCATCTGAAGAGGAGGTCCAATCAACCAACTTATTTAGAATACTTTTAGAAAGAAGCACATTGTTATTAGTGTCAAGGGTTTTTCAAAGTAGTTATTTTCTGGCTCTAGAAAATCACTGTGTTGAGGCAAAGCACAATTAACGACAGAACTTAGCAGTTTGCAATTCACCCATGCATTAAACTGTGATGGCTTTGACCTATTCCCAGAGAACACTGCATTTGGAATATGAAAAAGTATTGGTGTGTTTGTTATTGTTTACCTGGCCTTCACCAGCTTAAAAACTCTTCTTCTTTTTAAAATTTTTTTTTTTAATTTTGTGTACTGATACTGGGGCTTGAACTCAGGGCCTGCATGCTGTCCCTTGATTTTATTTTTCTCAAAGCTGTGCTCTGCCACGTTAGCCACAGCTCCACTTACCAACTTTCTGGTGGCTAATCGGTGATAAGAGTCTAATGGGTTGATTATCCTGTTCAGATGGGCTTTGAACCGCAATGTTCAGATCTTGGTATGCTGAATAGCTAGGCAACTCTCTGCTTTTTAGTCATATGAGAGAGACTCTGTCCTTGTGGAATTGTTTTTGTCAGTGGCACCAGAAATACTTTGTCATAATAGTTCAATACATACAGTTCCTCTGCCATGAAATTAATCTTTGACATTTTTCCCCCAAACAACAACCAGAAGGTGCTGAAAGGCTTTTAATGATCAAGCGATTTTTATGTCACATTTTATCATAAACATTGAGTTCAGTGACTGAGTAACTGAAAGCTATCCATTGATTCAAATTGACTCTGAAGACAAGCAGTTTCCCCCAGACGTGGAATTCCAGGCACACATGTTGATAAAGCACACATCTCCAAAGGCCACTCTCTCTGAAGTGTTAAGGATTCCCAGGCTGCAGTTCTGAAAGAATTGATGGAGGTTTCTATGTGGTGTGAGAGCACTGAGCGTGCTGCCCGCAGGGGTGCTGAGGGAACCCCTTTTCTCCCAGAATGCTTGGAAAGGACAAGAACCTCACTTCACACTCCAGAAACGATTAATGATCTCAAAGAACAACTTTTGTGACAACTAGAATGGGTGTTGTTTCTATTAATCCATTACTAATTTATTTCTTTTACTAGGGTTTAAGCTCAGAGCCTCAAGATGCTCAGAGGTGCTCTAATACTTAAACCACTGCTTGGTTGCTTTTATGTTTGGCTGTTTTTCAAACATAGACCACCCTCAGACTATGATACTCCTACCTCTGTTCCCAAATAGAGGGACATATAGGCATGTTCAATCTTTCCTGATTTGTTAGTTGAAATGGATTCTAACCAACTTTTTTTTTCCAGGATTGGCCTTAAACTTGGATCCTCACAATCTCTGTCCTGGTCACCACACTGTAGCTGAAACTATAGGCATGATCCACTGTACCCCGCTTAGATTTCCTTTTTTTTTATTCATAAGACTTCATTTTACAAGTCAATTGTTGCATATATATACATACATATGTGTGTGTGTGTGTGTATATATATATATATATATATATATATATATATATGTATATATATGAAATGGTAGTAAACGACCAAATTGCCTTGATTCTAAGGTAGGGCTATAATTATTGGAGAGACCACTATTTCTATTGCAGAAATATCTAAAAGAAAGAAATTGAAAAGCAGCACGAGAGCAGCCAAATACTCTATTACCTTCATACTCCACAAGATGCAATTGCTACATACATTCCTACTCTTCCTCCTCTCCCTCGGCACATCTTGCTTGCTTAAAATCTTTGTAATTCGATTTTTGTGTTATACATCTGGTATCTGTGACAATTTTCATTCATCTCATGGCCTTTGAATATACAACAACAGAAAAGGGAAATCCAATAACTGTATTCATGTAAATACACAAATGAGCACACACAGAAGACGGATAAGAGCACTTCATCCACTCCGGTTCAGATCAATATTGCATTAGCTTGCAAGGCTAAGGTCTCCCTGTTGTTCGAGAAAATTCAATACTTCTTTGTATTATCGTTGCAAAGGCCTTATGCTCTCATGTCTCAAGGGCTCCTAAAGAAGCACGCTTGCTGCTGTCTGGGGGCAACGTTCCAAAGGACAGAAGGCAGGCGTACCCTGCATGCCTTAAACATTATAAACGAGTGAGTCATGGAGACTCTCTAAGTTATGAGTCTGCATTAGACAAGTTCTCTTCTGTTTCCTCTTTCAAAGAGGTTTCCCCATTTACCCTCCCCAAAGGAACTGGGTAATAGGAGAGGGGGAAGAGAGGCCACTAGAGCACCTACAGCGTGCTTCCAGCTTTCCTTTCCAGTAGAGAATAGGGGAAGGTCGGTGACTGCAATGATCACAGAACGACCCCAAGAATACCGGCTGTTAAAAGTCTGCCCACAAATGAAGGAAAAAGATTAGGAAAGCACAGAAACGGAATTTAAATGAGGGGAAGATGTGAGGGAGAATGAACAGACTGTACCGTGCCCATTTATAATTGCAGACCCGGAGTGGGACTCTTACTGAGGAAGGGAAAAACTTGAGTCTTTGGCTAGTACATATGGCATGGGCAACCTCGGGCTTCATAGAAGGAAGAAAAAGAAGTGTTGAATTAGGTTCATATCCAGAATGAAGACTATCTGGCAAAGGATCAGCCCTTATAGAAGAATTTGAGGCTAAGATTGAGATAAACAAAAGCAGAACCCGTTAGAGGGTCATCCTCTGAGATGCTTTCTTCTGAGGAGCCTAATTTAATAAAATTCTTCTCCCCAAATTCAAGCTTTTGACCAGTTCAATGTGACTCTAAGGAATCTGTATTCTTCTCCTCACTTGGACATTTCCCATATTTTTTTCCTTTCTTTCTTTCTTTCTTTCTTTCTTTCTTTCTTTCTTTTTTCTTTCTTTCTTTCTTTCTTTCTTTCTTTCTTTCTTTCTCTTTCTTTCTTTCTTTCTTTCTTTCTTTCTTTCTTTCTATCAATCTTTATTTCGTTTGTTCTTTCTTTCTCTTTCTTTTTTCTTTCTTTCTCTCTTCCTTCCTCCCTTCCTTTTCCCTCCCTTTCCCTCCCTTTTCCTCCCCCCGTCTCTCTTTACCTCTTTTGCTGCCAGTACTAAGGCTTTTGAACTTAGGGTTTGGGTGCTATCCTTTAGCTTTTTTACTCAAGGCTAGCACTCTACCACTTGAGCCATAGCTTTACTCTCAGCTTTTGCTGGTTAATTGGAGATAAGAGGCTAACAAACCATTTTACCTGGGCTGGCCTCAAATCTTGACCCTCAAATCTCAGCCACTTGAGAAGCTAGGATAACATATGTGAGTCTCTGTGTCTGGCATGTTTTCTTCATGATAAAGCAGTTTACATGAATGCATACAGTTTCTAGAAAATAAGGAATTGTGGTTTCAAGGAAAGTTTTTTTATTTGGTCAGATCAGTCACTTTGAATGCATCAAGAAACTTCTTATTTTGATACTTCAGGTGCTTAAAGTAATCCTTGCACAGACTCAAAGATATGAACCACTTTGGCTTAATTCAGTTATTGGTTTATTTGTTTTTTTGGTGGCTGGGGGCTCGAACTCTGGGCCTGGGCACTGTACCTCAGCTCTTCAGTTCAAGGCAAGCACTCTACCATGAGAACCACAGTGCTACTTACAGTTTTTTGGTAATTAATTGGAGATAAGATTCACGGACTTTCCTGCCTGGAATGGCTTTGAACTGTGATCCTCAGATCTCAGCCTCCTGAAGAGCTAGGATTACAGGCCTAAGCCACCAGCACCCGGCTAGTTATTTGTTTTAAGAGGACTAGCCCAAATGAAAATCTGTTATCCATTGGTATTTGGGGCTTTCGGAAGATTGGTTACAGTGAGGTTGATATTTGCAATGACATGTAAACCATTCTCTAGCAGTCATCAACTGCCTTCTGCTCCCACAATGCATTCACAGGCCTGTGCCCTTGTCCCTGTGGCCCATTGAAGGCCTGTCCCCTCAGTGAAAATGCTTTCAGTGAGGACACAATACCTCTTTAAATAAAGCAATCATCCTCAGTGTTCTTAAATATTCTTAATTCCATAACATAGGATTATGGATTTCAAGGATAGGGAAAGAGTCCATACTAAATTGTCCAAACCATCTGGTATGGTTTTATCACAAGGGCAATGAAAAAAACCAGAAGAAGGTATGTTTGTTTGCCTTGAATCTAGACAGGGAAAGATTCTTTATATGCATTAGGCTATAGCCTGGTTCTTTGGGAATTTCTCAGGGACTCATTGTCAAGTTTGCCTAAGGTACTTCAACAAACTAATAGCCTCTTGTAGGGGAATGGCAATCTGACTTTAATGCAAATATATCAGTGTTCCAAACCATTCATTCCCTTAAGGATTAGTTTCACCTGGTACTCCCTATTCTGTGGTGGCTTTAGGCCATTGCTTGGTTGCTAGGCACAAACAAAACAATGGAGAGAAAAATGCACTTTGCAATCATTTTGATGAGAACTTCTTAGTATCTATAAGACCTTGGCATCTGTAGCCACTACATGTTTTAGTTGGTACAATGATCCATTCGTTTCTGACAGTCACTATTAGGATGTGATACCTTGTTCTTTGCTCCAAATGGTGACGAGGATCACTTTTAGAATCAAGGCTCAAGGTAAGAAGAGGTAAGAACTGGACTTGTGCAGCCTTGGAGTAGAGCCATTTGTTGTCTCTCTCTACTTCCCTGGGGCCCAGGATCCCTTCTGTGGGCAGGAGAGATAAGCGCAGTGACCCTGAGAGAACTCCGTGACACAGCCTGGGCTAGGTTCTTTCAGTGTATCTCTGTTTTTGCTATGTGGCCTGGAGATGGATGCCAGGGCGCCTGCCACTTGACAGCCCCAATCTCATTCTCTGCAATTGAAGCGAGCATTTCGATTCTGTTCCTGAAAACAATTTTGCTCACTGGGGAACTTGGTTATGCCTGTTACTGCCCTTCTGAGTACACTTTAAAATCCCCTCCACAAACTCCATCCAATATGTTCGTTGCAAACCAATTAACTAGGGAAGACTTGCTTTGGGTTAGAATAGACTTCTGGGTTCTGCTGAGGCCCCTGATTCTTTCTTTTGCATCTGCTGTAGGAAAAGAAAAAGATATATTGACATCTCTGGTGGTTATTGGTCTTGTTTTGTTTTTGCCTCCTCAGTTGGTCCTCATATTGGACGTTACTGTGGACAGAAAACGCCAGGCCGGATCCGTTCCTCATCGGGCATTCTATCCATGGTTTTCTATACTGACAGTGCAATAGCAAAAGAAGGTTTTTCAGCAAACTACAGTGTCTTGCAGAGCAGCATCTCAGAAGGTCAGTATTTATTCATCTTGCAAAGCCCTGTGGTAAACACTGCCTGTTATTCTTCCTCATGCACCTGCGGCCACATGAAACTCTGAAAAACTGTTTTTGTGTGTGTCCACTGTTGGTTTTTCTCTTTTGAAATGTTTTTCATGAATATCAATAGGAAAGCCTAACTGGGGTGCTTTCTTCATAACATCGAGCATAAGCCTTCAAACTCATGGAAGTGGAAAATGACAAAACAGTAGTTGGAAACAATATAGCTTGACCAGGCTGCCTCCATGACACCTGTGGGCTGAGAATCACAAAACAGGCTTTCATCATGGATGGGAGGAGCCAAGCTGAGCTGGCTGGAAAGGAGAGAGTCACCTGGGGGGTGGGGGGGGGTGCAGTGTGCAGTAGTTTAGTTGTGGAAAACCCCAAGGGAGGTTATTATCTCTTTCTTCCATGTTTAAATAAAAGTGAATAGCCCTATATAAGAGATTTTATTGCTATGTACTTATCTACCTCTCTGTTGGCTGGTAGGACTAGAGTTTGAACTTAGTCTCATGCTTGCTAGGTAGGCACTCACTTGAACCATACCTCTAACCCTTTTTACTTCTAGCTATTATTATTTTGCCAGGCCTAGGGCTTGAACTCAGGGCCTGGGCACTGTCCCTGAGCTTCTTTTGCTCAAGGCTAGCACTCTATCACTTGAGCCACAGTGACATTCAGGCCTTTTCACTTTATGTACTACCGAGGAATCGGTAGTACATGAATGCTAGGCAAGCACTCTACCATTGAGCCACATTCCCAGTCCCTTGAATTGTTTTGGTTTTTTGTTTTGTTTTGTTTTGTTGTTGTTGTTTTGTCGGTCATAGGGCTTGAACTCTGGGCCTGGGCACGGCCCCTGAGCTCTTCAGTTCAAAGCAAGCACTCTACCACTTGAGCCACAGCACCACTTATAGTTTTCTGGTGGTTAACTGGAGATAAGTGTCTCCTGGACTTTCCTGTCCTAGTTGGCTTTGAACCGCAATCCTCAAATCTCAGCCCCCCTGAGTAGCTAGGATTGCAGGCATGAGCCTCCAGTGCCAGGCTTGATTTATTTTTTAAATACGGGCTCATATTCCCTCAGAGCCAGGCTATCCTAAAAGGTGATTCTCCTATCTCTACCTCCCAAGTATCCAGGATTACCATCATGAGCATCTAGGATTACCATTGTGAGCTACTACACTCAGCTCTAAGTTTAATTTTTTGTTAAAATCTTTCGGTCAAAGAAAGAAATATATGTTGCTATCCTATTAAAATGCTGACTATACCATTCCCTCTCAAAGTTTATGAGGCTTCTAGTCTTAGAAGGGTTAGAGGAAAAAAAAACTAAAAGAACAAAGACTATGATATGTGCTTCATCAGTTCTAGCTGATGGATTGCAAATTCCTTAGTGAGAAGACACAGGAGAGTTGAGAACTAACTAACCTAGAAAGGTGTCTTTGTAGGTTAGCATCTTTTCACCCTGTCTCACTGGAAAATAAAAAGGCCCATCAAATTTCTGTCTCTCACTTGTTCTAATTTATGTGACCAATTAAATTATGTATTTTTGCTCCAATAAATAAGGTTCAGACTACAAATAACAAACCTAAAGCTTAGTGTCTGAAGCCAGTGAAGGAAAATCTTTTGAATCATAAACCCTTATCTCTTAGGATAGAAAATTAAGAAAAAGTGGAATTTTTATTTTACTTTTGTATTTTATGTCAGTTTTTATTTTAGTTGAGTAGGTTACGCAGCTTTCTTTTACAGATAATCAGGTTATAAACAGAAAAGGTTTATTTTGGCTCACATTTTTGGAGAATCCACTCCAATGATCAATTGGCCCCTCTGAAGTAAAACCATTAATTTCATGTTAGGAATTGGAAGAGAAACGAAGAAAGAGACTAAGGTCCCCAATCCACTTACAGGGACCTGTAAACCTCTACCAGGCCCCACTTCTTAAAGCTCTATCCCTCAATAGTGCAGCTCTAGGGTAGACACTTGTAATACATGAACCTTTGGGGAACACTAAAGATCCAAACTGTGGCATTGAGATTTTTCCATTTAATCCTGAAATGTTTTCTTAATTTGGGGATAACATTTCCTTAAATCTGACTATTATAATCAGACTGAGTAGGCCAGCCCAGAGAAAATGAAAGTTTTCATGAAACATGGTCATTGTTGTGTGTAATATGGGAAAACTGTGATGCTCTGTTGGACTGCAGTTTAGCCCTAATGAGTACGTTCGTGTTTCAATAAACTAAATTAAGGATGGTAATAATCATGAGCAGTCCAGGGATATGTAGCCTGAGGACAAAAGGTACCAATTATAAATATTTTAAAAAGCTAAAAATCAAATGTCCACTGAATATGACATAGACTCTTCCAGTTTTATGAAAGAGAAATAATATTAAAATTATATCATATCCAATTTTGTGTATATATCCATATGACACACACAACTTTGGAAATAAATCAGAATTTCCACCATTTCCTAATGAATTCAGATACTATTTTTGTCAATCTAAGCCCACTTGGGGGAAAATTAGCATACTGTGCTGATATTCATAGTGTTTTATTTTCAAATAATACCCCCAATGCAAATATCAGTGCTACATCCCATTCAGTATGCTGTTGAATCTTTTAGGAGACTTCAAGTGGATGAACTCTTGTTTGCTAGATTTAAATGAAAACTAAATCTGTAGTCCTCTAGTGTTTTTGATGACTTTGGACCACATTTTTTCCCTGCAGATTTCAAATGTATGGAAGCTCTAGGCATGGAATCTGGAGAGATTGATTCCGACCAAATCACAGCTTCGTCTCAGTATAGCACCAACTGGTCTGCTGAGCGTTCCCGACTGAATTATCCTGAGAATGGGTGGACTCCTGGGGAAGACTCCTACAGAGAGTGGATACAGGTATGTCACAGAAGACTTGCCCCAGCTAGGAATGAAGGAGATTTGGGTCATGTAAAAAGGCTATAGAATGGTGTCATGAAAAATGCCATCAGAGGAGACAAGAAAGAAATGGGCATCAAGTATAATCCTTGCAAGTGACCATTAAACCACTTCCTTGCAGGGAAGAGAAGGCTCAGATAACTTCCTAAAACCCCCTTTTTCAGATCCTTATACAGTAAGCTTGCCTAATTGGTAGATTTATTGTAGGCACTTTTGACCAAGTACAGTAAATAAATAAATAAGTAAATAGAATTCATGAGCCCAATTTTAAATTCTCACACATGCATCATTTAGCTTTCTCCTTTAGTGCTGCATTATTGTCAGTTGAGTTTAAATCTTTGTATGATCTACTGAGTGTTTCCATGTCCTGAATTTTGTGGAAATCTGCCTCCTAGAAAACAAGTGATACCCACAAAGCAAGGTAAATTTATGGTGATATTCCCAAGCACAAAATGGACATATAATGTGCATAACTTATGGAAATAATGGAAATTTCAGATTTGCCAAAAGGCTATATGCCTTTAGCATAAGTTGGGTGACATGATGAGAACAAGAATCAATCATCCTCAGTATTTAAGATGAAGCTAAGATAAGATGTAATTTTTAGTAAGAAATAATAATGTATACTAGAAGCTGGGCTCACACCTAACTATTTAGGAGGCTGAGATCTGAGGATTGCAGTTCAAAGCCAGCCTAGGCAGGAAAGTCTGTGACTTTTATCACTAATAAACTACTCAAAAAAAAGTGAGAAGTAGCACTGTGGCCAACTGGTAGAGCCCTCATCTTGAGCAAAAAGAAGTTCAGGGACAGTGTCCAGGTCCAGTGTGTAAGCCCCAGGATTGCCAAAAACAGAAAAAGCACTAAAACCCAAGTAAAGATGACTCACTTCCATGACAACTAAAAGATCTAATATTTTTTTCCTCCAGCAACTGTGTATTTTTTACACCTAGGACTCTTATTTCAACATACTCTGATTTACTTGATGCAATTTATAAACCTTACCTGTAAGATGTGCACAAAATTCTTGCTTTCAAATATCAATTTTTCCATCTCTTTGAAATATAAGAAAAGAAGGGAGAATTGGGCTGTATTTTTCAAGCAGCTCTACGAAGCTCACACCCAAGGAGGAGGTGAAATTGAGGGCTTCAGCCTCTGCTAACTTGTACTCCTATGTATCAGGAAATGTACATATTTCGGTCCTTGACAGTGATGTTGCTTCTATTCTGTTCTGAGATCCCTTTCCTGCCATAATGGTGGACCCTGCCTATTCCTCCTCACCTCTCCAGCCTCTCGTTGCCATCATTTCCCAACCATTTGGTCCAGCCCCTTCTCATCCCAGCATCCTTGCTTGACTAATATCTGGTTTCCCAGTTTTCACTCACTGTGAAATGAAATGTCTTTATTGGAATATTTGGGTTCAACCTTGAGCAAATTATACAGAAAGTTTTGCTGAAAGATCCAAGTTTCCTTCTTGGGAGAATAAGCAGAGAGTCTGTCTTATGTTTCTTACCAGATATATAAAAATGAGTAATTCCCAGAGAGAGTTTCTGAAGCAGGAAAAAAATCAAGATGATTTATCCCCTCCTTTCTACATCTATTGCTGTTTCAGTCATTTGAGCACAAATACCAGATTTTGTTTTACTTTGGAAAGGTCAATATTAGTTTAACATACACTTAAAGTGAAATAGCCTATTAGAGGAGACTGAACTCATGCTAACCTCTAAATGATAACACAGAGAAATGTGGAAAGGGTGAGAAAAGATGAGACTTTTATCTTGGGATTGTTGGATCCAGCTCCGGATGAAGCCAGAAATGAAATGGCTTTGCCTCTGTCAAAATAACTCTTGGTGACTTGTTTTTCCACATTCACAAACCCACAAGCAGTTCAGTATGATTGACAGATGTGCCTCCAGAGGAAAGCTTATATTTTTGCAGTACTAAGCATGTTTGCATGGTAATGTGGTCCTATTCTTGGTAAGTGGAGAAGTCAATAATGGAGGCCTGGTGATCTTGCATGAGTTCTGAAACTGCAACTGTAGCAATTCTGTGCCAGGCAATTCTATGCCTATAGCAACATGGAAACTAAATGGGCTTTCAGAAAGCATTTGTCAGCTGGACAGGGTCTTACATCATTCTTTGGCATTAGGCACAATTTGAGATTGCTGCAGAAGATAAAGCATCTAACCATCATCCAAAACTCTGTTTAGATAAGATAGTCAGTGAGGTTGGCCCCAAAGCTGAGATTTGTAAATTGCTCATGCTCCTCTATGATGGGTGATAGGGCCAGTTGGAGTTTTAGATAGCATATCTTTTTACACACACACACACACACACACACACACACACACACACACACACAAGACAAGTGCCCATCCTCTGAAATGCTGCTATCACCAAGGCAGTTATTAGAGAAAGGAAACTGAGATCGTCATGCCAGCTCTTAAGATTTCAGAGTACTTCAGAACACGTTTTGATACCCAAGTCCATCACCCAGCCACACTCAACCCAAAAGGCATCAGACAGGCACAACTTCACATGCGCCAATGGACAGAGAGCCCAACACATTTGGTGAAGAGTACAAATGAGAACTGCCCTTCCTAGACCATTTCCCACTTACTAAGTTCTGATTAGATAGCTTGACCTCCATGCCACCTACATGACACACTTTGTAAACCTCACCTCAAGACTGGGAGGGCATATCCCCATTTTGAAAATGAGAAAACTGGGGTTTAGAGAGTTTTGTAACTACAGGAGTTCACAATAAAGTGACCTGGTTTGAAAACAAGTTTTGCTAGACTCCTACACCTGTTTACTCAATTTCCTATGGGATGTCTTTTTAGACTTGAATGTGTAAATTTAGTGAACTTCAGCCACCTCCCGCCCATACATTCTTGTGCCCAGAAGCCTCACACTGAGATGGCTCTGGAGCTAAGTATGTCAAAGTCTAAGACTTTGCTCCTGAGTCCCTAAGAAAGGTGACTGTCACAAAAGCTGGGCTGCTGGTTCACCTTGAGGTAAAATTACCATTTCCCTCTGCCCCACCTTGGAGTTCATTGGGCTCATTTATATGCTTGTTGTGTCTGTGTACATGGCGGGAGCTGTTATCATTCAGCGATCACCTAATTATGAATAATTTCAGGCATTTTCAGCTTTCCTGAAGCTCTTCGGAAGTGGTTGGCTGGTTGTTTTCATTGGATAGATGTTTTATGAATTAACCAACAAGTGCGGCGTAATTTAGACCGAGGGCAAGAGGCACACACCTAATCACAGGAGCATTAACACATTTCTATTTTTGTGCACCTAACTATGCAGATAACATTTGTTTCTTTTTCAGCTTTTTCCCCATTTTGCACGGAATATGTCCCACAAAACATGTTGCTGTAGCAACAACAAAGGACAAATACTTGCATGTGTTAAATTAATAAAACAACATGGGAAACTGACTTTCCTTCAAGACAGGAACTGTCTTCAGTTCCCATTGTATTCTCTAGGGAATTACTGAGTGACATTAAAAATAACAATGCATCATTAGTTGTGGATATGAACATCCAGATTGGTGCTTCCTGTGAAAGCTGCTGTCTGCCAGGAAGCTTGAAAACAAGTCAAGGAGCCGTTTTATAGTAAGAAGGGACACAAAGGGAAGTCCTGGCCTGACGGTTTGCACACAGCCACATCCTGTTCACAAGGCCACTTCATATCTCAAGTGCCTAAAAACTCTTCATTGTCAAGGAGCAGCCTTAACTACATTGTGCATTTGCTCACTTTTTCCTGGAGTATTCCATTCTGTATTCTGTGCCCTAGCTCCACTTATAGTACTATTAATTTTATCTCTTTTGCTTCTTTGTTCCTAGTTAAACATTCAAGGATTTAGAACAAAGACTCAGTGTATCCATGGTGGAATAAAAATTCTTACTTTTCAAGCACATAATTAAACTCATATCATTAAACTCACTAAATGTCTTTGCCTATAAAATGATAGCATGGCCATGACTGCATTCAAGTTCTAGCAGCCTAAGATGATGTTATGAATCTCAGAAATACAGGCTTAGATCTTTCTTTTCTTCTCTATAGAATTCTTAGCATACTGTATCTGTTCAAAGGACTTGGTGTCACAGAGCCCAAATGCAACCATTCACACACAAGGCAGAATTTAATTTGTTAATTATTCCAATGTTTTATTAATGATAGTGTTCACACACTGTAAACAGATTTATCCTTCCAGCCTTAATTAAAGCTCCTGGGAGTACTTTCCTCAAAACCACTGTGACTTTTCCCTGATTAAAATGCCAGGAGACAAAAAAAAAAAAAAAAAGCAGAAGAAAAAAAGGCAAGAGACACAGTGACTGGGTAGGAAATGAACTTTGTTGATGTGAAGAAATAAAAAAATGTCACTAGGGACTAATCGATTACCACACCCTCCAGGCATTTTAGAAATGGAATTTCTGACAAACCAACTCTAGCCAGAACTCTACTCTTCTCCAGATTTGAAGGCATTACCTTAAAATGTGAAAGAAAATTCATACTAGTTTAATATATGCCCCTACTTATTCCAGAGGGGAAAGAGAGAGCAGTTGCCCTCTCAATCACATATTTCCTGGTATAAATCAAGCCATTATGGATTAGACACAAAGTAGGAAACCTTCAGGAAGGCGGTCTGAAATAGACAGAGGTATCAACAAGCCCAGAAGAAAAATCTCTTTCTGTTTTTCTCCATAACATCTTCTAGTACAGATGTTCTTTCGGAGGACCAAGGAGTAGGAAGGGTCCAGAAATGGGGAGGAGCTATAGTGCCCCTTCTAAGGAAGCTTCTTTCTATGTCCTCCTTAGGCTTGATTTAATATTTTCTCAGAAAATACTGAAGTCTTCCTTTGAAAGCAGACACCAGCAAAACAAAAGACCTTGGTATAGTATTATAGGAGATCAGCTCATCCAAATTAGAATACACACATACACACAATTAG